AAAAATTTGGTTTTGTTTTATGAAGAATTCGCTAATTTTTTACCTTTTAAATTAGTGGGAAAATTTTGTTTTGATTGTGAGAAAGTAGACAAAATTGAGTAATCTGACTTTTTTTCAACAAGTAATATTTTATTCTTAATTTTTTAAATTGAATAGATTGTTATCATTATTTTTTCTTTGAACCTTTTGTTTTATTTGACTTGATTAAAATATGGCTTACATAAAATTGCAAAGTAAATATTTCTTAGATTCAAAATTAATAACAATAATTGATGATTTTTAAAATTACATATAGTCAAATAGAAAAAATAAAACTATATACACTCAAATAAAAAAAAAAGGTATGTAAACTGAAATAAAAATAAATAAAAACATGGACACTTAATTAAAAATAAAATTAAATATCCATGCTCACGTGTCTTGTCAATTCAATGATTATGTTGCTATTAACATAAATAGTTGATTAGAAAAAATAAATAAATAAAAAATTCGCATACTCAAAAAGAAAAAATAAAAGTTGGAACACTTAAATAGATTAAATAAAAAAGTTTGCTTACTAAATATGGAATAATTTGGTATATATTTAGGATGTGAACTTTTTCATTTTTTTCTGTTTGATTTTTCTTGTCTTTAATTTTTTTTTTTAATCAAGTGTTTTAGTTAGATCCATCAAATTCATGTTGACCTAACAATTAAATTAATATGTCAACATGCTGACGTATACGCTAAATGTGCATGAACTTTACGCTTTTTTTCTAATATGTGTGTTTGTAATTTTATTTTTATTTAAGTATAAGTACTTTCATTTTTTCTACTAAAGTGTGTATTTTAAAAAATTATTGATTGATTGCTTATAATTTTAAAATTTTACAAATATCCATCTCAAAATGTTATGCAAGCCATACTTGATCGGGAGAATAAACTTATTTGTTAAAATAGTAATAATAATCATTTATTGAAATTAAAAGAAAATAAGCATGAAAAGGAAAAAAAAATTGTTTGCACCATAATTGACTAGTTTATAAAATAAAATAAAAAAACAAGAAATGAAATTAAAAAGTTTAAGTTTTTGATGAAGCTTTGATTAAAAAAATAAAATCAAATTTTTTTGTATAATGAACTACAAAATAAAATCAACTTTTTAGTATAATGAATTTGTATTTTTAAGTATTAATTTTGAAAAATATAATTAATTTTTTACCTCTTAAAATTAGAGGTTGAGATTTTGTTTGGTTTGTGAGAAATTGAAGGAAATTGAGTCAATTTTTTTTTTTTTTGGACAAGTCACCTTTTATTCTTATTTTATTTTAATTTGAATAAATTATTATTACTATTTTTTTGTTTTTAATTTTAATTTTATTTAAGTTGGTCAAATATGTGTTAGATGTGTATGCCCAAAAGCCATATGTACTATGTGTTTTGTAAACAATTATCCCTTTATGGAAATAAAAAGATATATTCATTATATGAAACTTATTTATTATTTTGAATATTATCCTTAAGTATATTGTTAGAATATCTATTCTAAAAGAAGTTTTGAATATGAGCGATAATTATTTCTTAAACAAAATATTTTAAAGAGTTTATGGTTATAGAATACACTGATTGGGCATAATTTATTCGGAAGACTATCACCTCTGTTTGTTTAGATAATGAGTCTCCTGCTATGTGATATGTGATAACGGAATAAACACGTGGACACTCTTTTTTTGTAGGATGAACAATAACATTAGATGATGATAACATGAATTTCTTACTACTTGTTAATGATTCATCATCTAAATTATAATAGTGCATGTAATCTTTTGAACCGAGGAAACACGGTTATCTCACACGTAAATGATTAGGGTTTGTTACATTTACATATCTATGCTAGTCATGTATAGGCATATGGCATATGATGGCCTTAGTTAGTTATCCGTACGAGGTGGGTATTCAACCAAGATGAAATTCATTACCTTGAGCGAGACAAGAATAAGATCTTGTGCTATCTAGTTATTCTTGATAAACAAAGTTCTTAGCTAGAACAAATATAGTCACTAGAAAAGAGTTTCTAGTATGAGTCTCATAATATCAAGAATTAGAACCAAGATGAGGTCATAGTATTTAAGCAATTAGCTAGGGTTTGACATTTATATGATCCGAGTTAAGATCAAGATCTTATAATGAAAGGGTTCAAATGCTCGGTAACTATGATCATTGGTTTCATGAAATGTACTCGATTAATTTAATGCATTCATATCTAATTAGGTAGTCATGATATGCTATACTAGGCGTCACTCATGACTTATAGGACTACGGATAATTTGAGAATATCCTTATGCAAAAAAAAAAAAAAAGAGTGTTCTCGTGATATCGAAGAGTTGATATCATATTTCTATTACTAATTAGACATGAACCTAAAAAGTCACACACAATATAGCTTTTATCGAATGAGCAAATGTTGTCATGATTATTAATTAAAATATTTGATTAATTAATCGAAACAATAAGATTAAACTTGTAAATGAGTTTACAAGATCCTTAGCATGTCCTGAAGTTTAATCCAAGTTAAGGTAAATTAATTATGACTCGTTTATATGAGATATAAATTGATATATATGAGATATAAATGTCAAGTCATTGAGCTTAGGTCAATCGATGAATTAATCTAAATAACCTTAGTAGAAGATTATGTGTCTTAATTGATATATGCATGATTTACTTATGTGATCAAGAAGTATCTTGATTGTTGTATGCATAATTGACATGTGTCATGAATAATACATTCGTGATGAACAAATGTTTTTGTGAAAGACACTTGTCATCTCTCATGCATGCAAGTTTCCCACCCCAAGATAAGTTAGTGGGGAGAGTAGAGAATGTTATAGAAGCAAGCTAGAGAGAATGGATTTGGGTTTTGCATTCTCTCATCTCTAATTCTCTAACCGCAAGACACATGACTTGAGCTAAAAACATAATAATAATAACCATTTATCATTTCAAGCTAGATTACTTGGTGAGAACTAGTGATCAATTTTGGAAAAATAAAGCCGAGGATCAAACTAGCAAACCAAGTCTTAGACGGAAGGCTCAATAATGTAGAGTTCATGTGGACGGACTAGATGTTTCACATTTGGAGAGCTTGAGACCGAAATTAACTTATTAATTACATGCTCGCAAAAGGTAATCTTTTTATCATTTGATATTAGGTCTTGCATGTGTGTTCTAAATATACTTTAGCTGATTCTTGAGTTATGATTTATAAGACATCTACTTGAAGTGTGATAAGATAACACCAATTATTTGTGTTTTAGAATTTTTGAAATCCAACATGCTGTTGTTGTACCCTCCCACCATTTCCTTTAATATGGCATACACAGGAATGTGAAATTCAGAAGCATCCAATTGATAACTTTTAGAAATCAAGTCAATCTGATTTTTTTTTATCCGGACAAATCACCTTTTTATTCTCGTTTTCTTTTAATTTGAAGAAATTGTTATTACTATTTTGTAATTTTAATTTTAAATTTATATAGGTTGGTCAAATATGCCATACAAACATTCTAAGTTTTTTTTTTTAATCAGTATTTGTATTAGATTCCTTCAAATACGGATTGACGTGGCCTATTAATTAAATTAGAAATATCATCATGCTAACATGTACAAAAAATATGCATGAACTTTGCACTTTCTAATTGGGTGTCTACAATTTATTTTTTATTCAAGTGTACATGTTTTTATTTTTTCTATTCGAGCATTTGAATTTTCAAAAATTTATAAATAGAGTGTATATGATTTTAAAAGTTAACAAATATCCACTTTAAAATCTTAAGTCGGCCATACTTGACCAAGTTAATAATATTATAAATTAAAATATTAAAATAATAATAAAAACTTATTAATTAAAAGAAAATAAGAATAAAAGGCATAAAAAAAGTAAATTTGGATGCATCATAATTGACTAGTTAATAAAATAAAAAATAAAAAAGCAAGAAATGAAATGAAAAAAATGAAGGTTTTTGATGAAGTTTTGTATACACGTGTGTTTAGTTATACGAGAAAGTCAACTTTTTTTGTAATGAATTTGTGTTTAAAATTATTAATTTTTTATCTTTTAAAATTAGAGTCTGAGATTTTTTTTTATTTGTGAAAAATTGGAGGAAATCGAGTCAATCTAATTTTTTTTTAATCTAGAAAAGTCACCTTTTATTCTTATTTTCTTTTAATCTAAAGAAATTATTATTATTACTTTTTTGTTGTTTTAATTTTAATTTTAATTTTATTTAATTCGGTCAAATATGGCACGAATAAGAATGTGGGATCTAAAATCATCCAATTGATAAATTTTTAAAAGTGCAAATACTTAAATAGAAAAACTAAAAGTATGTAGATTCAAATAAAAAAAATATATCTATAAAGTTCATGCATATTTTCGCGTACTTGCAAGCAAATTAATGTGCCAATTTAACGGACACGTCAATATATACGAAATCTAATAGAAATATTTAATTGAAAAATTGAAAGTTTGCCCACTATATAGCTATACACACACACACACATTGGCATTACATACATGAGTATCCAGCTTCATATCTTCCCTCTCAAAAACCCATTGAAAGACCATACAACTTTTGTTTACGCAATGCCATATATACGGTGTTTTAAACAACGCGAGTTCAATTGCAATAATTGTATTTTTTAGGCGACCCAGAGAATGATGAAGACGATGGCCATGTCCTTGTTATAGCATTAAAGTTAAATAGAAATTTGGATTAAAAAAAAAGGGTCTTAGATTGATAAGTGATTAAGAGCGAGTGTGCTGATCATCTTAACCATAATTATGGTATCTTTATTTACTTGCTGAACAAAATGCACTAGCTTGCATTCCAGGATAATACAAAATAGGGTAAGCTTCCCATACACACACACATACATAAAGGAGGTACATCTATTCCCATTTCACTCAAAAATAGGAGCACAAGGATCGAAAAGCCTTCAGCAGACCATTCCCATTTCAACTAAGTAATCCTGCAAAAGAAAAAGGATTTGGTTAAAAAAGAGATAGGAGGAGGAAGCTGCTTGCAGTAGAAAGAAAAGAGCAAACATTTGATGGAAGTTATCAGAGTGAGAGAGTTAATATCTGCATCTTACTTGGAACAATCAACATTGGGTGAAACAGCGAAAGGCAAGCTGATTCCGCAGTTAGCAGGAAGAGCCTGAGCTAACTGGGGTTTTGGATTTATTGACTTTGAAGCTGACTTGATGCACTGACAAGCTGCCTTCTTATCAGCTGTGGTTGATGCTGCAGATTGAAGAGCTGCGGCTCCTGCACAGCATGCTGAAGGCGGTTTCCCAGAGCCCTTCGAAAGGTAGCTCACACAAGGCCTTAGGTCTTTGATTACATCACTGCAGGAGATCGCAGAATCAGAAGTTGGAGCGAGTAAAAGAAACACCATGATAGCAGCCATTGCTGCCACTACTACACTTGAAGAGTTCATGGTGCAGAAGTCGGTGAGATAAGACTAACTTGAGCACTTCCCTTGAAAATTGTTTCCATTTTATAGCGAAACTGGAGGGATACTCACAAGTGCAAGAAAGGTTAGAAAATTTTAAAACTGGCAATGATTCGGTTACTAATGAGTGCAAGAAAATAAAAAGATGATATGATCCATCTATATAAGGGAGTGTAAAAGTCAAGTTAGGTGGGATCAATGAAGAAGTAGTCTCAAGCAAGCTAGTGCAACTGTCCCCTCTTAACTTATGCAAGAATGTGTGCAATGCTAATTGCGCGAAACAAGACTTATCGTTCAGTAAGGGTGCTCTGTTTTCCCCTGTGTACCTCTATTTTCCACCAGAGGCTCATCCTGTTGAGCGGTCCAAGAAATTCAGTAACGCTAACCATAATTTGAAATGGCTGTTATGTAACGGCTATTATATAATGGTATTGGACACAATCTGTTGCTGTAATTCTTCCTTATACACACTTTATAGTCGTTTTACACAAATATTGGCAATAGTGGCATTATGTAACGGTGACGGCTATTATTGCCACGATTCAACAGATATCGACATTGTATTTAAAAAGAAAAATCAATATTTGAAAAAACAATATTATTATAATTTTGATGGATAAGCATCACAACATCAACAACAAGAAGATAACTTTATATTCAGAGTCATTTTTACCACCATATCTGCTGTTTAAAACTATGAACCTTAAAGGTGGTATATGCACCCAATTGCATTTGTAATCTATTAGAGCACTATAACATCGGCAGGCCGACACCTATAATACGCAACCCAGAAGTAATGCCAAACCCTGAGTGTAAACATTTGGAGCTAGTACAATCAAATAATTTTTTTCCCAGTAAAAGGAAAAAAAACAGAAAAATAATCAGACACTCCGTCTAATGAATGGATATCTCAACCATCCATAATATGTTTTCTAATAAATTAACTGGTAGAGTAAAGCAAGTGCGTCGGCTATTGTCTATGTTTATGTAGCCAGGCTGTTCAGCATTTGCTTTCTTCCTTTTGGTTACCTACTTTGTTCAACTTAGACCAAGTATATTATATTACAAGAACAAGAAAAACGACAACAACAAAAATCTTCCCCTACAAGTGCTGGTATGACGGTGTCTGTGGTCCTTTGGTTCATTCCAAGGGTTGATGGTGAGGCAAAAGACTACCAAAACAAATGTTGGTTCAACTAGCGTGATTAGACTGGCTACGTTGCGAACAGGAAACACTATACGTACATTATAGTGATGTTCTTTTGATTGCAAACACTGCCTCCAAAAATTACCCCAAGGGAAGCAATGCAAGTCTGTATTTATGCCTGTTCCAATTTCATTAAAATTATGCTAAGAGTACACTAACTTTTGTTGCAAGGTACGAGAAATTTTATAATACATAAAAATGAATTAGTGACATGTATAGTTATTCTTTGGATCCTTTGAGGAGAGAGATAGATACATAAAAAAAGAGAAATTACATCCAACCCACAAAAAGTGATAAGAAGATTTTCACGTCCGCTCAAATTTTTTTATTTTCTCTCTCTTATTTTTCTCTATCTCTTTTTGTGTGTCTATCTCTCTCTCAAAGTGGATTTCGAAGTAAGCTACTGTATATACCACTAGTTACTCCTTATATATTATAAAATTTTTCGAAAAGTACATCAGTATTACTACAATTCAATTGTTATTGGATTATCCTACTGCCTCCACATTACTATTTTTTCTTTCTTCTGTTTTGTTTTCAATCAGATCGAGTATTCTTGACATATTAAAAAAAGGGGACTATTTTGGATTATTTGTGGTTTTTCGTTTTCAAATTCTTGAAAATAAAAAATGAGAAAATTTATTTGTTTTAAATTTTTGTCTGAAGAAAATCAAAACCGACAACTAGTAGTTATTAAAATTGTTTTTTGAGAAATATTGACAACCATAAACAAAAGAACATACTTTTTTCCTCTTTTTTTTTGTTTATTTTAAAATTTTGTATTTTAGTATTTTTTTATATTAATGGGTAAAAGATAAGTATTAATAGGATAAAAAAAGAATACCCATATACATGAATGAATTGTCTATTAACATAAATGAGTAATATTATTTTATTTATATTTAATCTATTATCCATTAAGATATTTTAAAAGGATAATTAATAAACAAGCTGGGTTGGGTACCCATTTTTGTACCCGCCCACTGCCATCCCGGCTTAACACACAGCACAATGAGGTCAGAATTTAGATGTATGCTGTCCAAAAATTGAAGTACTTCGCTTGCCTGTGGATGGATTCTATTACAAACAGCAACAATTGACACTGCTTTAAGCTTCTTCCCAGCTGGACCCTTACATGTATTCTTTTATATCCATTCATTCTGGGACCCCCTTAATTGAATTCTTCATTCTAATTTGAGAATTCTTTTCGTGGTCCTCTCCTGGACTCTAATTCTTATTGGGCCTTCTTTGCTGGAAAATGTTCACTTTCATGTTTCTCATCTTACTATTGGGCAGTTCACATTGAATGGTTAATCATTTTGATATCGTGGCTCGTCACTTATATCTTGTTTTCATGTTTTATTTTTTTTTCTATATGTACAACATTTTTCATCCTAACACTCTTCGTCATGTGCAACCACCGTTCTCTTTTAAGGTTGCTACGTGGATACATAACACCTTTTTTTTCCAGTTTATTGGATGTGGTCAACCTCTCTACTACTCGACTTGTGGTGGTGCTCTTTTCAACTCCAACTTAATTTTATTCTCGTTCTTTCTTCACATATAGTCCTCTTTTATTCTCTACTACTCAAGGTTTAGCAGTAAGTATGAATCTTAATGATTACCAAAATGGTTAGCAGAATTACCTATACTACATTTTCGAAATTAAGTTCACAATACAGTAGGAACAAGAACGAAAACCCAAAAGCGTGGCTGAGGTTACAATCCAATTGCAGTTACTAAAGTGAACAGGGTACCAAAGACAGCAGTTCATTGGATAGCTTTTGTAGCAAAGCAGAGAAACTCTACTTGTTCCACAGCTTCTAATGAAACAAGGTCCACACGCCTTCATCTACGAATGTCCTAGTTTCTGCCTGTGAAGTTTCTTTCAGTACTTTGTTTCTTTTTCTTGTTTTTCCCTTGATTGAATTTTTGTTGTTGATTTGATCCTTCTGCAACTTCAATTTCTAAAATGTGTTTTTAACAGTATAAACAATTGGAAGCACACATCTAAGCGTATCAAGTCAAGACACCGAACAGAGAACGGGCTCCATCAAGTAGACCAAAGTATCTTAAAAGAGTTTAGTAAGGAAAGAAGCATCTGATTGCCATCAATTACAAGAACAGTTTCGAATCTCAACTACGAGAAGGGTTCACACATACAGTGTATTATTCTCATGAAAGCAATTCTGAAGCATCTCATTGAGAATTAACACAGCTGGTTTCCACCAAAAGGAAATGAATCATTTAAAAAATGAATAAAATCATTGATTTAATAAAAGAAAGATGCATTAACTTGAAACTACTCTATTCATTCCGTCTCAGAAAAAAAATTCATTTCAAAGTAAATTTTATGTCAACTTTTAAGTAAGTTCACACACATATCCATATTCGGCATATCTATGTTCTGATAGCAGAAATGGATATTGATTTTGACATTCAATTTCAGGAAATTACAAGGTCAACAAAAATCCCATATGTATCTAAGCAGATGGATGGACTGTGTTGCACATGCCTGGATTCTTGACACACCAGAGAGGCTGAAGTGGTTCAGCTCTGATTCCTTTGGTGACCATTCTCTGTCTCCACTCGTTTAAACGATCCATTGCCTCTGCATACCTCTTCTTGCCTGACTCATCTTTGTTCCCTGACCATAAAGTCTCTGCCATTGCTGAAGCTCTTGGCCAAATCCGTACATCCAAAACTGTTGGATCTGCTTGCTCTGACCACAATGCCACTTCACCCCCTAGCACCAATTTGGTCTCCTCCGGAGTCAACCCATATGCTATGTCATAGTTATATATGGTTTGCCACGTTTTGAAAGGTCCACACCATGATCCACCATCACCACTGTTACCGCTTGTTGGTGGCGGATCATATTGGCTGTCATTCCCAAGAAAACCACCATGCCCACAATCCAAATAATAGAACTCTGAGGATGACACAATAGCTCTGTAACCAGAAGAAACGATCAGTTTTGTGTTGTTTGGACCATTATTCCATGTTTGTAGGATGGTATGCTCAGGTGGAAGAAATGAAGGGTCCACCTTGATGTTGTTGTCCAATAAAATATCTTCCCAATAAACCACTGTGCGATTGAGAGACACAAGGTAAGGGAAGGTTGAGTTCACAAATGTCTCAAGGAGTTGACTGAGAGTTCCATTTTTGGACAGGAAGGACTGAATGGCCGGGTCGGCTTTCCAACAGCCAGGGATGATCTCGTCACCTCCAGCATGGTAAAATGGTTCAGGAAATAAGGCAACTGTATCACCAATCACATTTTTGAGAACTTGGTAGGTCTTTGGGTTCAAGGGATTTAGTTGGCCAGTTCCTGGTTCTGACGCGAGCCGATCAGCCCATTGACTTTCAGCTGGCCACCAGAACATGTTTGCGCAAGTCACGATATCTGGATAGGCTTCAGCCCAGGATCCTGTGTGTGCTGCAATTACAAATAATTCCAATTAGTCATGCCTTTCAAATAACACCTTTGAACCAAGAACCAGATACAAAAGGATATATTGAACCTTCTCCACAGATGATTGAACAGTGAGATTCACTCCCCCTATTTATGGCATTATTGTAACAAGAAACCAACTCTTCTCAATGAGTTCAAACAATTTAACCCACTCATTTTTCTTATTGACATTTTGTATTGCCTTTCACACTATACTAGATCAAACTTAAAAACAGAAACCAAGTTTTTGATACTCTTTAACTTGGCATTAAAAGAGCCTCGGGATGAGGGCAAAAAGGTTGATGTTAGCATAAAAGAAGAATA